ATTAAGCACCCCAGAGGATGCTATCTCATCATCTGGAACCAGGACACCCTCTGTTCCTGAGAAGTCAGCTTTAACTCCACCCTCATCCACACTGGACACTGTCAGCGACACAAACAAACCTTTATCCATGACAGCTATGACAGTTACAACCACCTCTTCACCATCCACAGCCACCACCCCGGGGACCACTGTTCTAGACACAGCAACAACTGAGATTCAGGAAAAAGACACTGAAACTGTACCCCCATCCCCAGCAACAACCCCCACAACCACAGCTATTATTCTTAGGTCCTCAGAGACAACCAAATCCTCCACTATGACTGGGACCAATCCAGCACCCCCAAACTCTAGCCAGAGTAGTGGTGTGGATGGTGGTGCCTGTGCTTTGGATGAGTATCCGGACAGCACCAGAGGTTGTATGTGCAATGGTAGCTACTATTCCCACCTGGGTAAGTCTGAATAATCATTCTAGGAAGTCTACTGCTGCTGCTGTTGCTTCCTCTTCTTCTTCCTCCTCGTCTTCTTCCTTCTCTTCCTCCTCGTCTTCTTCTTCCTCTTTCGCTTCTTCTTCACTTTCTCCTTTATTTTAACTTTATGTGCATGCATGTAAATAACATGAATCACACATATGAACAAACCAGATAAACAGTGGCAGGGGCTAGTGAGGTCATGGAACTCTGAGAAGGCCCAGAGGAACCCTGACCAAAGGAGATGGTGAGACATGAGTATGGGATGAGTCGATCCAGAGGTGGCTGAGCAGATGACAGGGTCCATCCTGTCCCAGCCCCAGCTCCAGCCCCAGCGCCCAGGACTTGAACTACTGTCCAGATACTAATGGGGATTGCATGCATGTATGGCATGCCCGGCTTTGTACACACACACACACACACACACACACACACACACACACACACACACACACACACACACACACACACCAGTGTCTAGTTTCCAGCTTGGAATGAGAGAAAAAATGGAGAATAAACAAATTAACCCCTCAAAAACCCAATCTTGCCAGACAAATTAGAGACACCAGTTGCCTTCACCAAAGTAAAGCTGTTTCATTGAGGCTCAGGGCAGGCTTCCTTGGTTCCCTGGGGACTTAAAGTTGAAGAGTGTGGCAGGACACCTCCTTCTTTTCTTCTTCTCACCTTTCCGGCTCTGCCTCTGGACTTCTTCTAGTCCTCTATCCACTGGCCCAACTCTCAGTCCACCTGGCTCCCAGACAGCAGCCTCACCTTCCAAACTTGGTTGTTGAGTCAAGGTCTCTTAGTCCAGAACGCTATGGTCACTGAAGATGCGCTTCAGCTCCTGATCCTCCTGCTTCTGCCTCCTAAGTTCTGGGATTATAGGCATCTGCCGTCATGCCCTATCTATGTGGCACGGGGACCAATTTATGCCAGGTAGGATCTCTGTCAATGAAGCTGCATTCCCAGCCCCCACACGAGCTCTGAGACCCGGGTAGTAGTAATACCTGGAGAAGAGACTTGAAGGCCCTGTGAGGGCCAGGAATCAGGATCCCAAAACACAAGGGATGGCCCTTGGGATCCACTTGTGTGAGAATCTGTATATATATATATATGTGTGTGTGTGTGTGTGTTTTGAGAAGGGTTTTTCTATGTAGTCCTGGCTGTCCTTGAACTCATTCTGTAGACCAGGTTGGCCTCAAACTCACGGAATTCCTCCTGCCTCTGTCTCCTGAGTGCTGGGATAAAAGACATGCACTACCATACCCAGATATGTTTACAATTTTTACAACTATTATGTGTGCATGGTGTGTGTGTGTGTGTGTGTGTGTGTGTGTGTGTGTGTGTGTGTATCAAGGGGCCCACAAACCATGGTGTACATGTGGAGGTCAGAGGACAACTTTGTGAAGTCAGTTCTTTCCTTCCGCCTTTATGGAGGATCTGGGAATTGAACTCAGGTCTCCACCACAATCCTTTGCCTACTGAGCCATTTTGCTGGCTGTGTTTAAGGGAGTCTTTATGAGTTGGACCAATATCACCTCTCCTCTTCACCCGCCTGAGAAATAGTATTCTTTCTCATGGCATCATCCCAGGTTCCTCAGGAGACCCTGCCCCTGACTCTTGTTTCCCTGCAGAACTATCCAGGGATATCGGGACCCTGCGCTGCAGACCACAGGACATTGAGGTGGCTCTGAGGAGCTGCTTCCTGAAGACTCACCACTGGGTCCTGAAGGACGATGCCTTCTCCAGGTGTTTCAGTATCAATACCATAGAAGAGGGTCGCCGGGTCCAGGTCTTTCAGTTGGAGAAGAAGGAAGGAACTTGTGGACTCCACATCTCTGTAAGCTGACCCACAAGGGAAAGGGGAAAGCTGTGGGGGCGGGACTGGGAAGCTATGGGACGGGGCTAAGAAGCTTGGGGGCGGGACTGGGACGGGAGAGGCTGGGTAACTCTTGACTTGGGTGGACTCAAAGCACTGTCTTGTTGAAGAAAAGGGCCAAGCTGTCCCCAGAATGGGAATGCCTTTACACGTGCTGTGTTTGCTGGATTAGGGTATAGGTTCCCAAACCGTCAGCCATGAAACACTGTAAAATAACAACCACAAACAGTTATTTATTGATTTCTGGCCAAATGCCATGCCTATCAATTTATTTTTAATGGTTCTAATCTTGAGAGGTTCTCATTAAGACGAGTAATCCATGGCTCATAGAAGTTAAGGGATTTTCTCAAATTGCAGTATGAACTTGAGGTAATCCTTCTGCCTCAACCTCGTGAATCCTGGGACTGCATGCTTGCACCAGCATACAGAGACTAGTTTTATAAGCAAAACATAACTCACATAAATAATAGAATGCCCGCAAATAGCAACAGTGTGCCTAAAGCCCCAGATCTCTTGGTCAGAACTCATCTCTTTCTTCCTCTCTCTGTCTCTCTCTTTCTTTCATTCCAGTGCTAGGGAGACTTAATGTGTGCTAGGCAAACACTCTAAAATTGAGATACATTCCCAGTCCTAGAAGCTGGAATTCTTTTTCAAAATTTATTTATTTATTTAGAGACAGTCTCACTATATAGCCTTGGTTGGTACAGAACTCACTCTGTAGCCCAGGCTGGCTGAAACTCACAGAGATCCACCTACCTCTGCCTCCCAGTGCTGGAACTAAGAGTGTGTGCCACCACACCCTGTCCAGACTTAGAACATTTTTTTTTTTTTTTTGGCCCTAGGTATCCTGGAACTCTCTATGTAGACCAGGTTGGCCTCTGCCTCCCCAGTGATGAGATTTAAGACATATATCATTACACCTAACTCAGACTTAGAATTCTTCCTTCCTTCTTTTCTTCCTTTTGGTTTTTCAAGACAGTGTTTCATTGTGTAGCCTTGGCTGTCCTGGAACTCGCTCTGTAGACCAGGCTGGCCTTGACCTCACAGAGATCCACTTGCCTCTGCCTCCAGAGTGCTGGAATTAAAGTTGTGTGCCACCACCAGCTGGCCAGACTTAGAATTTTTTTTTTAATAATTTATTTTATGTGCATTGGTGTTTTGCCTGCCTGTATGTCTGTGTGAAGGTGTCAGGTCCCCTGGAACTGGAATTACAGACAGTGTAAGCTGCCATGTAGATGCTGGGAACTGAACCTGGACCCTCTGGAAGAGCAGTCAGTGCTCTTAACCGCTGAGCCATCTCTCCAGCCCCCAGACTTAGAATTCGTAACAGCTCAGTGATCCTACTTCTTTCCCAAGAGATTCCAAGATGCAAATTGACACCTAGAATCCCAGAATTCAGAAAGCTGAGGCAAGAGGATTGCAAGTCTCGGGATAGCCTGGGCTACGGAGCAAACGCTCTCCCCGGGCCGGAGAGATGGTTCAGCAGTTAAGAGTCCACATTACAGAGAACCTGAGCTCTTCCAACACCAGCGCCAGCAGCTCACAGCTGTTTAAAATCCAGCTTCAGAGAACATGTTGCCCTCTTCTGTCCTCTTCAGGGACCTGCACTGTCAAGCACATACTGGTAGAGAGATACACACAGGTGCATGGTTTTCAAAATAAAATAAGCCTTTAAAATGCTCTCTCAAAACAACAACCACACTACCACACCAAAAAGAAAAACAGCCCAGATGTGGTGGTGCGTGCAGATAAGCTCAGCACTCGGGAAGCAGAGGCAGGAGAGGGTTCAAGGCCATCCTTGGTTACATAGTTGGAGACTAGTTTGGGCTACACGGCGCCCTGTTTGAAAATAAAGTAAGATAAAATAACTATTAACATTTAAGAACCATGGAGTAAGAACCTCCGTTGGCGACTCTCGGTTCAGTCCCCAGCACTGTATAAATTGGGCACTGTGACACAAGCTGTTAACCTTGGCACTGGGAGGGGGAACCAGGCAGGTCAGGGGTTCAAGACCATCCTCAGCTACATAGTCACAAAAACCAGCCTAGTCTACGTGAGGCCCCATCTCAAGAAAAGAATCTTAGAACCACGGCATGGGGGTTAAAGTGATGGACCCTAGAGTCAGTCTGTCAGTCACTTGCTTTGGATGTCCTTTAGCCTCTCTGAGCCTTATTTTACTCTTTTATAAGTGGGGCCCATAAGGGAGAGCTGTGTTCAAGCCACAGAACCAAGATCAAAGAACCTCAGCTACTGCTTTTATTCAAAGAAACACCTTGTTGCCAGAGAGGATGGGAGAAGGTGTTCACCCCAGGGACTTGTGGGTAATGCCTGCTCACCTATGTCTCTTTTCTAGACCAACGTCAGCCATGCCCTGCACTCTCTGGACGTGCATCTTCAACAGGTTCTCCCCGGCTCTCCCAGCGCTGGCTTCAGAGAGCTCCACTTCAGCTGCGCATACCCCCTGGTGGTGAATGTCAGCAGGCCTGTCTCCTACCAGGAGGCCTCCATTCCGTGAGTTAGGTCCAGTCAGCTGTCTCTGCAGCTAGGCCCTAGGCCACCCCTGAGTTCTCATTGCCACCTCTAATCTAGCCCAAGACTCAACACTCTCGAGAAATCGGCCCTCAAGCTCGTCCACCATATGTAAGCACCTCTTACACGGAGGGAGAAACAAGATACATCTGGGAAGAGATGCATTATGGGTTGCTTGTGTAAACGGCCATGGAGTCAGATAGCTGCCGAGGTCTGGGGACCTATGATGTGGCACCTCAACTTTTATGTGCTCCGTGAGGAAATGAGCAGGCTTGCTCCTTCCTGGCCATCTTTTCTTTCTTTTATACTTAATGATCATGCGTGTGGGTCACATGCACGAGTCTGGTCTCTATTTTCATGTCATCAGGCATGGCAGAAAGAGACTTTTTACCCACTGAGCCATATTTCTGACTCATCTTTTTCTTTTCTCTCTCTTAGTTCATGTTTGTACAGTGTGTGCTAGCTCATGTACATGTGTGTCCGTGTGCATGTGAGTGTGTATGTAGGTCAGAGGACAACCTCTGGTATTCCTTAATCACGCTCCACCTTATTTATCTATTTATTTATCTTTTGTTTTTTTTGAGATAGGGTCTCTCTACATAGCCCTAGCTGTCCTGGAACTCACTATGTAGACCAAGCTGGCCTCGAACTCACAGAGAGCTACCTTCCTCTGCCTCCTGAGTGCCGGGATTAAAGAAGTGTGCTACCACACCAGATTGTTTATTTTTAAACTCGATTTTGGATTATTTTTATTTTATGTGTATGAGTCTTTTTCCTGCATGTATGTCTGTGCACCAAGTGTGTGTCTGGTGCCCACAGAGGACAGAAGAAGGCGATGGATTCCCTGCAACTGGAGTTGCAGACCATTGTGAGATACCATGTGGGTGCTGGGAATCAATCTTGGGTCCTCTGGGAGAGCATCCAGTGCTCTTAACCTCAGAACCATCTCTCCAGCCCCTATTTGTTTATTTAATCATATTTTTTTTGTTTTTGTTTTTGTTTTTGTTTTTTCGAGACAGGGTTTCTCTGTGTAGCTTTGCGCCTTCCCTGGAACTTACTTGGTAGCCCAGGCTGACCTCAAACTCACAGAGATCCGCCTGCCTCTGCCTCCCAAGTGCTGGGATTAAAGGCGTGTGCCACCACCACCTGGCTTTTTTTTTTTTTTATCAGAACATTTTATAGGTTTATATGGGACTATAAAGTAAGACTTTGCTTGGAAATAGATTCTCGGGGCAATATATTTGACTCTATTCTAGCCTGTTTCCCAAGCCACCAGACCTGAGTGAGTCTGAAGTTATGGGAGGCTCTGTAGCAGGCCTGTCCTACTGCTCACGTTCCTCTGTACACACCTTGCTCCTGAGAGCGACTCTCCTGGACCTCTGTCCCAGGGTGCAGAGAGCAAAAGCTTTTCCTGATTGTGGCGGACACTCTTAAGTGTTCTCCAAGACCCAAACTCTCCTCTCTGCCGGGAGTTAAAAGACTTTATTCTGAGAAAGAACACGGGTGACCCCCAAATACTACTTCACCCTAAAGTCCCATCCTACCACAGATGGTGACCACGTGGAAGCTGTATCCCAGAGTCCCTCCCTTATCCTTTGAGGCAGAGTCTCCCATTGGCCTCAAACTCACCAAATAGGGCTAGCCTGCTCAACTAACAAGCCCTATGGGTCTGCCTGTCTCTCCAGTAGTAAGATCGCAAGCACGCCATTGTGCCTGGCCTTTTTAACATGGTTATGGGGCTGGATCTCAAGTCCTCACGCTGTATAGAGTAAAGTACCTTACCCACCCCCTTCCCTCTGAGGTTTCCTGGTGAGGGGCTCACTCTTGTTCCTCTCTGGCCATAGCACCATCCACATCCCCAGTACGGGAGAGACTGTCATCACCCTGAGCATCTTCACAGACTCTCATCTCTCCACTCCACTCAAGAACAGTACAGCTCCTGTGGGCATGCCCCTTTATGTGGTCCTCAAGTCCACCAACAGTGACCCTGGCCGATTTGCCCTGGTGGCTAATGAGGTTTTTGCCAGTACCGATCTCTCCAACACAGTGACTAAGACCACCTATCATTTTGTGAAGGGAAGGTAAGGACCAATCAGGACCCAGCTCTTGGACTGTGACTCTTGCAGGTACTTTTTTTTTGTTCCCATCAGCATAGACTCTCATTTTTTCCTGTATCCCTGGCAAACAAAATGGGGGAGGACAAAAGGGATTGGTGAATGTTTGTTGAGTGAATGCATTCAGCCCCATTTTACAGATGAGTAAACTGAGGCTCGGGAAAATTAAAACTGCTCAAGATCTCACAGCTAATAGACAACATTCATTTCCTCTATTCTTTCCCTCAAACAATTATTGAGGGCTTATGATGGAATAAAAAAATAACATTAACATGTGAGAGTGCCATATACTATGCTGTGTATTGAAGTACATTACATGCAATAGCTAACAACAGTTAATAATTTAGTTATTTATAAATAATAGTATTTATTTCATGCCAGGTGTAGTTTGAGTCACATCACACTTATCAGTTAATTTAAATCTTATAGCACACTATGACATAGTTGTATTTTGATTCCCATCTTACACAAGGAGAAACCGAGGCCAGTTAAGTGCTTGGGAGGTGTCAGGTGTTGAGCACACTAAGAGAAGAGTGGGTTTTGTTTGTATCAGGTATGGTGGCCTATGCCCCAAATCCAAGTACTTGGGAGGCTGAGGCAGGGGAATTACCTAGAGTATCAGGTACTAGCCAAGTAAGACAGCAAGACCCTATTTAAAGAAAATAATTATAAACTAAATAAAAAACTTGGTAGGGTGGTGCATGCCTGTAACCTAAGCACTCAGAAGGTAGAGGCAGGGGGATTGAGAATTAAGGGCTAGCTTCAGCTACATAGAGAATTCCAGGTCATCCTGGGCATACCTAAGATCCTGACTCAAAATGAGAGGGGAGGGGAGATTGAGGGTCTCACTTGTATATCACATTTCATTAATATTGACAATAGTTTTTGTAGAAGCACAGTGGGTTACTCATTAGTTTACCGTTCACAAAACGATCGCATGAAGGATTCTTTCCTCCACTGCTCAGAGGGAGGGCAGAGGGCTCAGAGTCTGACCAAGGACTGCTTACGCTCAGTCTGGCCCCAGAACACACTGCTGCATTTTTCCTTGTGTGTAATTGGCTTTTCCTCTATTCCTGCGGGTCTGTGGTTCCCACCCAGGGCCAGCATCGGGCTAGAACAACACTGTGCTCCAAACCTGAGGATCCACCTAACTTCTCTGAACCTATGTTTGCTCCTTGTTTAAAAAGAAAGGGCAGGCAAGTTCGGGGCTGGAGAGACAGCTCAGCAGTTAGAAGCAGTAGCTGCTCTTGCAGAGGCCCTGGGCTGGGTTCCTAGCACCCACATGAAGTTACCACCATCTGTAACCCCAGTTCCAGGGGTGGAACAACACCCCGTTCTGACCTCTGTAGGCACTGTACTCCTGTGGCGTACAAACACACATACAGCCAGATACCGACAGGCGTAAAATAAAATAATAAACATTTAAAAAATGGGGAGCAGTCAAAAGCATGGTCTCCCTCAGAATATGGCTGTGGGCATGAAATTAAACAATCAATGTAAAGTTAGCTCTTAGTAGGAGACCCAACACCCACAATTACAGAGAACGAGCTAAAGTAACAGAAACCAAACTTTGCGGTTGACCCCTTGGGCCCCAAACCTGGGTCCCAAAGATGCATGCCAGGCCCTCTCCCTGCAGCTGTCCAGTCCAGGGCCGGCTGCTCCAGGACCTGAGCAATGGGGCCTCCACACAGGTGACACTGGCCTTCACTCTGTCACGCTTCTTGAATAGTGACACACTCTACTTACATGCCCAAGTGACCCTCTGTGACAAGCAAGCGTCCCGCCCATGCCAACCGGTGAGTGGGGCTCCTGAAGCCCAGCCATGCAGCTGGGACCGGACCAAGGGTGGTGTGATTGTGTGCTGGTCTCTTTCTCCAGGGACTGGGCTTGGGGGAAGATTTAAAGGTGGACATTTGAAGCCCTAGATCTCGTAGATGGAAATGGGTGGACTTACGTGGGTTGTGGGGTAAGTGGAACACGAGTCTGAGGTCCTGGGGAAAGTCCCCACCTGTCTTGTCACCCACAGTCTTGCAGTGGGAAGAATCCCCGGAGGAGAAATTCACCCTGGGCCTCTCCGGCTAAGAGCCGTCTGGAACATGGTGATAGCAAGTGGATCGTATTTGGACCTCTCCGAATAAGCGGTACATGGACGGACCATTTGTGGGGCTTCCCCGGCTGCTCTGCCAAGACCCCCCCAGTGTCTTGTTCTGGGACCCCGAGCTTTCACCGAGTCCCCCTCACCTGGATGTCTTCACACTCTCCCCCTAACCCAGTCTCCTCCCTGAGCCCACATTCTCCTCTGCTGGAGGCAAGTCCTTGCAGCCACCCCGGCCTGCTTTCACTCATCTTAGTTTCTTGGCCTGTTACTGTGGGGAAAATACACATGCAGAAGCAACTTCAGGTTTCCTGTGGCTCATGCTTCAAGGGTACAGTCCATTATGTCCGGGAATCATGGCGGCAGGGGCTTGCTGCCTTTGGTCACATGACATCTGCGGCCAGGAAGCAAGGAGCCTGAACCCATGCCAGAGCTCAAGCTTACTGTCTGCATCGTCTGCAGCTCAGGATCCCCTGCCCAGAGATTGGTGGCTTCGCTACAGTTAAGATGGGTCTTCCCACATCAGCTAATGTAATCAAGGGACTCCCAGACAGGCATCCCCAGGGACCCATCTTCCAGGTGACTAGATCCTGCCGGGCCGACACTAACCAATCATGCCACTCATAAGTATGAGTCGTCTTCACCTCTCCCATCTCTCTAAAGGAATTTAAGATTTTATTTTATGTGTATGAGTGTTTTGTCTGCAGGCATGTCTGTGTACCGCATGTGTGCCTGGTGTCGACTTGAGGCCAGAAAAGGGCATTTGATCCCCTGGAATTGGAGTCACAGATAGTTGTGAGCCACTATGTAAGCAATGGGAATCGAACCTGCCTCCTTGGAGAGAGCATTCAGTGCTCCTGACTGCCGAGATGCCGCTCCAGCCCCTCAGGCACTCTGTCTCCTTTCCTGTCACATCAACTCATTCTTCTCAGGCTGTCTTTCCTGCCAACCTCTACTGGGTCGTTATTCCTGGCCCGGAACACTCTCTCCTCTCTATCCTGTAAGAATCCTTTCACCATAGCCGGGCGGTGGTGGCGCACGCCTTTAATCCCAGCACTCGGGAGGCAGAG